ACGTGTTCTGACTTGTTTATTGAAGAGATCAATGCTTTCAGGGACACTGGGAGTGTAGTAATAGATGGCTTCAACACAGTACATGTGTTGACGTATGTTTTACTGTGTGTACACAGTATGTTTTTTTCATGTTATAGCGCCACCTAGTGTTCAATCGTCATTCAATGTACTTGAATATTTTACATGGCATTTTTACCCCTTTTTTGAATGAGTGTATATTCAAAACTAATTGATGTATTCTGTATAGTTTTAAATTGTTTAATGCAAGTTTTTCACATTGACAAGTTTAAGGTTGACATTTATAATTTTTTGTATTGAATAAAATTATGTAGATTTTTTGTTAATTGTTTTTCTTTTTGTTTATTGCACTTTTGAGATATTTATCTTCTTTCTATTGATTTTTTTTTTACAAACATAGCCTTCAAATTGGGAGAGTAAGGATAATTTTGATGTGTGGCATTTGAAAATGCTCAAAAGAATGACAGCACAGCATGTAAAAATGCAAAGATATACTCTAGTGAAATTGTTCTATGGCAGGTCATAAAGGGTTAACATAATATTAATTATTATAAATATTATTTCCAACATAATAAATAGATTTGAGCATTTGTTTGTTAGCCAGTGCTGGAAACTGGTTAAAAAAGATTAAAAATAACCAATGCTGTTGCTCTCTCTAGTGGACAACATTGGTTTTACAACCTACATAAACTGTTGAAATGAATGACGGGAAATTTGTTTTTTTTAACTTATGTCTCGGGAATGATAAAGTGAAAAAATCTGAAACTCAGACCTTAGTGTTCAATGAGCCCTCTTGAACACCCATCCTGGTGTTGCTGAGTAATTGAGCTGGGAGTTGAAAGTTGAAATGCATATCTTTGTGTGCTGCGTTTAGAAGATTCAACATGGATTTCAATGTGATTCTGGTAATATAGTACAGCTATTTACCACGTTAATAGCAATTAGGTGAAAACTCAGAACAACTGAAGTGATAAACTCTGACAAAATATGATAGTGAATTGATAAAGTAATAATATGAATTATAGTTGAGTAGTGTAAAAATGACTATTTTGAACAGCAGAGGGCATTAAAACACTACTTATTTTCTTAATAGACCATCATGTTGATTTCATTTTCACCTTTTTAACTGTTATATAGGCATATTTTGTCCAATCTGTCTGAAAATGTTAATGATTATTTAATGGCATGTGTTCTGACTTGTTTTTAACAAGTCTTGTGATCTGAGCATTCATTTTAAGGCTACATGTTGAAGCCATCGATTATAGCCATCCACATGAAGTAGTTCAACTTTTTCTTATAATTATTGATCTAGAGAGTCCAGAGAATTGTACTGCACTGGTTTTAACATTATGATATGATCAGAGATGTACACACACACACCTTTGGGATATTTCTTTGTAATCTAATGTTATAAAACTATGTTAAAAACAGTGACAACAGTGGTAGTTACTCTTATCATTTATCTACAACTGAATGAGTGTGTGTAGATTTTAATTCAATATGACAGTTGTCATAGTACTTTTTGACTAAATGTGATTGTAAATGTTAAATTAGTGAATTGATAAAGTCATAATATAAATTATACATGACAACTTACTATTTTGAACAGCAGGGGGCAGTAAAACTCCACTTATTGGCTTAACAGACCATCATTTTCACCTTTTTAACTGTTCTACAGGCATATTTTGTCCGATCTGTCTGAAAATGTTCATGATTATTTAATGTCACGTGTTCTGACTTGTTTATTGAAGAGATCAACGCTTTCAGGGACACTGAAAGTGTAGTAGTAGATGGCTTCAACACAGTACATGTTGAAGCCATCCACAAGAAGCAGTTCAACTTTTTCTTATAATTATTGATCTAGAGAGTCCAGAGAATTGTAATGCACTGGTTTTAACATTATGATATGATCAGAGATGGAAAACACCATTTACAGCCAATACTGGCAATTCACCATATGGAAATACATGGTTTTAAAGCTTTTTAACAGTTATAGCGCCACCTATGGTCCGATCTCCATGAAACTTTGCATGCTTGTTAATGATGTGATGACACATATGCTCATCAATTTTTGGGATGTTCTGAGTTTTCCTTTAGGATTTATAGGCTTTGGGTGCATTTTGTCACGCCTACTTTTGTAAATGACCCTGTTATAGCAAAACAAATGTCAAAGTTCCACTTCTTTTTGATAGTTATTGATCTAGAGAGTCCAGAGAATTGTCCTAGACTGGTCTGGTTCCGATCGAGCAAAAAACCAGGGACTAGTTTGCAAAAGTAGGTTTTTGACATATTCGTGAATATTTAACGAACGATTTGATTGACAGCAATGGTTCTAGAAGCAAAGTTGTTCAGCATGAGGAGATCTATCAATTGATATACATATTGTGAGGGTGTGTGCAAACCACGTGATTACAGAGCCATAAAACTCGTTAGCGCCAACTAGTGGCCAATTTCTTTCAAAATTCTTACAGACCTCTAGGGCCATGAGTCGAACATTCCCAACGAGTTTCGTTCCGATCGGCCTTCGTTAACCTTGTTTCATGGGTGCTCAAAGTTCATTGGCTGATGGCGGCCATGTTTTTTGAGATACACCAATGTCCTCATAAACGTACATGAGGCCTTGGACCAAGACACTGCATACCAATTTTCAAGTCAATCGGACTGACGGTTAGGTGGTTATCTGTTTTTTCCGTTTTATAGCGCCACCTAGTGTTCAATCGTCGTTATTTTTTTACTGTGACCTCAAATTGAACTCATACACATGTGTACCGAGTTTGGTGAAGATATCTCATTTACTTCTTTAGTTATAGCCATTTTAGTAAAATAGGCTCCTCCCACAACGTTTATTTTGCGCCTCCTAGCGACCGGAAATAGAAATTTCCACTTTTTTTCAATGATTATTGATAATCAGACTCCAGAGAACATTTCTGCACTGGTTTGGTTCCGATCGGGCAAAAAACCAGGGACTAGTTCGCAAAAGTAGTTTTTCGACAAAATTCAAAATAGCCGAAAAATTTGCATACCGGAAATGAAATCGGAGATATACGTTTTGTTCGTCAGGTGACCAGCTTTCCAATGATATAAGACACTTGAGTGTACGACTTACGGTTTAGGAGTTATGAGCAGCTTCGCGCAATTGGTCGCTATAGCGCCACCTATGGGCCAATCGGGCTCATAATTTGATAACCTCTCCTCGATTTTTGTACTACCATCTGACAAAGTTTCAGAGCTCTGGCCCTTACGGTTTGGTCTGCACGATGCGTTTTACGGCAGAAGAAAAATAATAATAATAATAATAAAAATCGGTACAATTACAATAGGTTTTCAGCACTTCGTGCTTGAACACCTAATAAAAATCAATACAATTACAATAGGGTTTCAGCACTTCGTGCTTGAACCCCTAAAAAAAAAAAGGATTTCTCTAAGTAAATAAAAGTAAATTAGGTAATCAACCCTCACTGGTCTCGGTCTCGACTCGGACTCGACCGTCTCTGGTCTCGGACTCGACTCGGACTCGACTCTCTATGGACTCGGTCTTGACTCGGACTCGACTCTCTCTGGTCTCGGTGTCGACTCGGACTCGAGTGAGGTGGTCTCGACTACAACACTGCCTGACGCGCTATTCGCGTCCGGTGTGAACGTAGCATTAGGCCGGATTCACATATAGCGCCTAAAAACGCGTAGAAAACGCTGGCCGCGCTGCATTCTCCTTTTTCCAAAGCGCTAGGGTGGTTGCGCTTTGGTTGGTTCTTGTCACATTACCTATTGTGCGCTTATGGTGCGCTTGCGGCATTCTGAAAAGTTGAGATTTTTTATCTCGATGCGGCGCGGACGTGCTTGGAAAAAACGAGCGTGTCGCACCGCTTCCATTATGAACGCGCATACTGCGCAACTACATTTGAAATAACGAACTTGAGCGTGCAAAAGACGCGATATGTGAACAGGCCCTAAGGAAACCTCTGGAGATGAAATCCAGATATTGTAATGGATGTTTGGTTTGCAACATGCGCTGTAAGCGGTCGACCAATCACAATAGACTCGGCAGTCTGACCAATCAGAGCAGAGTAGGTTTAGAGAGACTGAATCTTCAAACTAACCATTTTCAGACTCTTTGAGAAATATGGTGAAAAATGTTCATTTTTTTACTTACTGGATGCATGTAAACCTTCTGTAAGAGACAAAATAGGTACCTTTAAAATTGCATAATAGGGGCATTGGTAACACTTTAGAATACGGTTCCTTTGTTAATGAATAACTACACAAGAACTAATGAGTAACACAATATTAACAATCTAGTAACTATTATTAACTAACAAGAAACTAGTAAGCAATAGCGCACAGACGAAAGTGGTAGTTCACTATTAAGTAATCAATAACTACTATTTTTTTTAATACTTCCCAGAGAACTACTGAAAAACTGTATTAACAATCTAGTAACTACTATTAACTAAAATAAACTCTTATTAACGAATTAGTAATTAATAGCTCACAGATGAAAGTGTTACTATACTTCTGTGGGAATTACTAATTATTTGGATCCGTATTATAAAGTGAAGATCATTGGAACTAACTAGTAATTACTCAAGTGTTACTACATGATCTAGTCATGATTTGTTCAACTGTTTGAGATTTTTGGTGAACTTTAGTAACTTTTAGAAAATGTCTTTAGTAACACTTGAGTCATTACTAGTTAGTTCCAATGATCTTCACTTTATAATACGGATCCAAATAATTAGTAATTCCCACAGAAGTATCTAGTAACACTTTCATCTGTGAGCTATTACTTACTAATTCGTTAATAAGAGTTTCTTTTAGTTAATAGTAGTTACTAGATTGTTAATACAGTTTTTCAGTAGTTCTCTGGGAACTATTAAAAAAATAGTAGTTACTGATTACTTAATAGTGAACTACCACTTTTCGGTTCCCTTTAAAATTGCATAATAGGGGCACTTTAAGAATTTTTGTACAATTGCATTTAGGACATATTGGCGTTTTTTTTTTTTTTTTTAAACTTTGTCCATAGGAGGATTTTTGCAGCCCCTGGTAATTTTGTGTGTGCAATATGCATCAGGTAGCCATTAAACAGACTGTGGGCGAGAAACTGGAGGTACCAAGAGTACAACAGCTTGTGACCACCAGCGGTTTAATCTCTGTCAGTTTTTCATCTTCCTCTCTCTCTCTTATCTCTCACCTGAGGCTTGGACCTCCATGATGTACTGGTGCAGGTCTTGACCCTGCTGCATAACCTCATAGGTCATGTTGTTCATGGCCAGCTTTCTCTCTGCGTGCCGCTGGAGTCTCTGTTCGGCCAGACTGGGTTCTTCTGCGCTGAAGTCGTTTACCTGTCGAACCAGGTCCTCATTCCACGCGTCTAACTCTGCTGTTACCTGCAGGACAGGAAGGATAGTTCAACACCTCTGCACCTGGCCTGATGACATTCTCATAGCAGTTATACATCAATCACTTCAGTCATGAGATCTGAAGAATAGTTTATTGAAGATTTTTAAAAATCTCTATTGAGAAAAGTATTGAAACACTATCTAGCATGTGTTCACCTCAATGGTGTACTGCTCAAAGATGCGCAGTTGCAGGAAGATGTCAAGTTTGATCTTCCTCTCGTGGAAAAGTTCCTCCATGTGGCCCTGGGCCTCCTCGAGCTGCTGTAGGACGCCCTCGATGTGAGCGATCGAGCTCGTGTGAGGCATCTTATTACTGCTCATCGCTGAGTCTCTGAGAAACACAGAACTAATGTGTTAAAGGGATAGGAGTTCACTTTGAAATTAATTTTTGATATGTTTTAGCTTACCTCAAGGGCATCCAAGATGTAGGTGTCTTTGTTTCCACAGTATTTTCAATTTTGACATTTTTCAGTCAAACCGTTGTTGTCTATCAGTCATACACTGGAGGCAAAGGGGGTCCACCAAAGAGCATGCACAGAGAAGTCCAAATTAAACATGATTTAATGACTCGTAAATGTAAATACACATTGAGTGGTTTGTGTGAGAAAACGAACAGTATTTATATCGTTTTTACCTCGTGTAATCCAAGTGATCTGAATCAGTTGTTCAATGTCCAACTGAACCGAACTGAATCAGTTCAATGTTACGCCGGAAGTGATCGCTTGCGTGTGACGTCACTCAATATTTACACGGAGATTTCAGAAGTTTTACCTTTTAGTAAACATATTTAGATATACCGAAATCGTCTTCCATTGCGGTTTCCCGTATATCTAAATATGTTTAGCGAAAGGTAAAACTTCCGAAATCTCTGTATAACAAAGAGTGACGTAGGCGCGCAAGCGATCACTTCCGGCGCATGCGCAGACCGAAGCGCCCGCGCCGTCAGATCATTTTGTCGTGGCTATGATTACAAGAGGTAAAAACGATATAAATACTGTTCGTTTTCTCACACAAACCGCTCGTTTCGTGTCTTAGGCCATCAATGTGTACTTACATGTACGAGTCATTAAATCATGTTTGATTTTGACTTCTCTGTGCATGCTCTTTGAGGTGTACCGATTGAGGACCCCCTTCACCTCCAGTGTATGACTGACAGACAACAACGGTTTGACCAAAAAATGTCAAAATTTAAACTACTGTGGAAACAAAGACACCTACATCTTGGATCCCCTTGAGGTAAGCTAAAACATATCAAAAATTAATTTCAAAGTGAACTATCCCTTTAAAGGCCATTGCACACTGATTACGAAATTTTCGGATGCGTATTTTCGTGTTCGTCAGCCTAAAAATTCGTCACGCATAGAAACCTTGCACACCGAGTCCGTTGCGTATTTATTAAACCTTTGCGGGAAAAAACGCTAAAATACCAAATGGATTCGTCAAGCAGTGAGGATGATTTTTGCCCTCCCTCTAATTGAAAAGAGAAGAAAGAGAAAATATTACGTCCATCCAATCCTGAAATTGCGCCGGGAGGAAGGAGAGTTCCTTATCAAGGAGTTGCGAATTTATCCTGAGCGATTCAAAATTTACCTCAGAATGTCAGTGGGACAGTTTGATGCTTTGCTAGCGATTCTGAAGCCACATATTAAAAACAAGACCACCAATTTCCGTGAACCAATCGATTCTGAACGGAGACTGGCAGTGTGTCTGGTATGGACCAGGTATGGACACACACACACCCGCGCGCGGCCCGGTGGAAGCGCCGGGCAGACAGAACAGCTAGGCTGTTATTATTGTGTATATATTGTGCCCAAATAATACATCAGTTATCGAATAGGCAGCTCGATCACACCTTATTCGATCCTAAATTTCAATCTGATTAAAAGGGCAGGTTTATTCATTTCATAATCCAATATAGAGAAGAGAACATAAACACTTGATCGAATTGAAAACCGAAACTGAAAGCACGGCGCATATGTGCATGATTTGAGGACAAGCTCCCCCCAGCCCTGAATTGTCAAAAGACCTCTCAAAATGCTGGCTCTGGATGCGAAAAACGCAGAAAATCGAACCCGATCCGATTAATTTTATGACGGACGGAAGTTTCGGAGGCGGTGTGCAAGCGTGACTGACATAACGTGAGGTCGAATTTTTTTTTTTTTACGTGCGAAAATTTCGGATGCGAATTTCGGACTCGGTGTGCAATGGCCTTAAGAGTAGGGTTAGGTATCGTTTGAATTTGAACGATTCTGATTCCGATTCCGATTCCTTGTTTCGATTCCGGTTCCTAACGATTCTCGATTCCGATTCTTTTAAGAGGCAGGGTCAAAAAAGTTTAGCTAACCTTGCTAACCAACGGCCTTTCTGAAGGAAATACTCCTTCTGTAAAAATACTCCTTTTGTCACAAATTTTGCATTTTGCCGAGATTTCGTTATTTTTAGAAAAGTGAAGCCACACTTTGGATCGCCGACGTAAGGTACTCATGTTCGACTCGCGTGGTTATGCCAACACTTCCAGTAGACACTTCTTCGTTGGTGTTGTTCAGCGGTTTCTTCTTCCACTCGGCGGACTGTGAATATCGAAACTAGGAATCGAAATGTTAACTTTTGAACGATTCCGGGAAAAACGAAAAGTTAGTCTCGGTTCCAATCGATACTCGATTCTCGATACCCAACCCTACTTAAGAGTGTGAGTAAGGGTTAGTCTAGAACCATTTGCTTATATTAAAGGAATATTCTGGGTAAAGTTTAAAAACAACGTATCTGTGGCATTATTTTAACTCCAGTTTGTAAAATAAAAATTGGAAACACGTTTACACTAGTACACTTACAATTGATGTTTGACAGACTTTACACACACATTTATTTTTTAAATCTCTGGAATTTTCTGTGGGCCTTAATAGAACTTTACACAGATGGCTTTGGTAAGTATTCACACCAGTATTAAGCCAACACATGTCATGTTTTAGTGTTATGGGTGTACATTCAAAACAGTGTTATAGCTGCATACAGTATTTTAAACTCTTATTCAGTGCTGCATTCTTGCAATGTAAGAACAAAAGCAGTTCCGGTAATGTTTGTGCCAGGACATTATCCTTTAAGTTTATGTACATTTCATTCAACCCTACAATACAACACAATGCAATGCATAATTGAAAACATGATGAACGCAAAAGCCGAATCCCGGACATTTTGGGCGATCTCGAAACACATTTTCGGGCAGACTCATCACGGAGACTCACTAGTAGGGTTGGGTATCGAGAATCGAGTATCGATTGGAATCGGGACTAACTTTTCGTTTTTCCCGGAATCGTTCAAAAGTTAAAATTTCGATTCCTAGTTTCGATATTCACAGTCCGCCGAGCGGAAGAAGAAACCGCTGAACAACACCAACGAAGAAGCGTCTACCGGAAGTGTTGGCATAACCGCGCGAGTCGAACATGAGTAGCTTACGTCGGCAGTCCAAAGTGTGGCTTCACTTTTCTAAAAATAACGAAATCTCGGCAAAATGCTAAATTTGTGACAACAGGAGTATTTGTGAGAGGAGTATTTCCTTCAGAAAGGTTTATTTCCTTCAGAAAGACCATTGGTTAGCAAGGTTAGCTAAACTTTTTTGACCCTGCCTCTTAAAAGAATCGGAATCGAGAATCGTTAGGAACCGGAATGGAAACAAGGAATCGGAATCGGAATCAGAATCGTTCAAATTCAAACGATACCCAACCCTACTCACTAGTAGCCTAGACTTGTTGTTTAACTACTGCGAGTGAATTTTGTCTGTGTAATGTAAATACCTGTTATGCAGCATTTTTAAGATTTTGAAAAGTATGTAAAGGTATGAGCTCGTGTTGACACCTGAGCTGTTGCATGAGGTCTTCTCCCTCTTTGATGACGTTGAGTGTGGCCTCCAGTGTGGCCGTCTGCTGCTGCTGAAACTGCTTTATCAGCTCCTGAACCGAATCAACCGAGTCCGAACAAACGTCGTCCAGCAGCTCCTTTTGCAGGTCCTCCATCCACGTCCATAACTAAACCCACACACGCAAACAAACGCACATTAATGCATGCACTTTCAGTGATAAATTCTCACGATGTTTCCTCGTGATATTCCTACTCCATAACTTCAGTGCACTATTACATTTTACGTAATAATCAACATTTATTCCCCACAATGAAGCCAAAACCTGACCCATATACAAGCACAGTAACACACTTAAAAGTTTCTAAACTTCACTACAGACTCAGAGATGGAATGACCTGTCTGCACAGATTATAACTCTCATCTAACAATAATCTGCCCTGAATCCAATATTAGAAAGCAGCCAGAAATGTGTGCTCTCGCTCTCATTTCTCATGCTGCTTCCAATTTTAACATTTCAGTGTAAAAGATTAAATAGTATAGAAATGATTCAGTTCATTAAAACGTAGAACTTAATGATCCCCCAAACACTGGAGTGCCGTGTGGTGTAGTGTTTCAAGGTCAGTGCCGTCAGGTTTCTCAAGTTTATAATCATAAACATGTTTTTGAAAGAAGTCGCTTTATGAATCTTTAATAGTTTTTCAAAAATGTAATTTGAATTTTCTTTCATGATTCTTTGATTAATAGAACTTAAGAACAGATAATCATCATAATACATCATATAATAATGTATAATAATAATAATAATTCACAATATTGCTGTTTTTATCGGTTTTTAATGAAATAAATGCAGCCTTTTGAGCATGAAAGAAAAGCGTTTTAAAAAAAATATTATTTACAGTATACCCTTAATTATTCCAAACTTTTAACAGGGAGCATACTGTTTTGTGTTTTATGTCATACATTCTCACAGTCTTATCCTGTGTCCCAATGTCCATGCTATCCTTCCTTACTATCCATCCTAAATATGAGATTACAGTAAAACTTTAGTATTTTGAAAAGAGTATGCCAAAATTCCCATGATGGTCTACTACACTGTAAAAAATATTTTCAAGATTTGTTATCACAACATATTTTCTTTTGTCAAATCAACTTTATAATAATTTGTTTAGTTGAGATAACTTATTATTTTGAGTTTCTGATGGTTAAATTAATCTCCTTCATTGTATTAACTCACTTTTTCAGTTCAATCAACTAAAATTTTAAGGCAACCCAGGTTACTTACTTTTTTAAGTTAAACCAACAATATTTTTATTACAGTGTAGCAATCACACATATTTTCTTTTATAAAATCAACTTAAATAATTTTATTTAGTTCAGATAACATTTAATTTTGAGTTTCTGATGGTTAAATTAATCTCCTTCATTGTATTAATTCACTTTTTCCAGTTCAATGAACTTAAAATTTTAAGGCAACCAGGTTAACTTACTTTTTTAAGTTAAACATCAATATTTTTTAAGTGTATCTATATATATATATATATATATATTTATATTATTTTTTATTATATTATTATTATTTTTTTTTTTTTTTTTTTGAAGGCAGAATCCAAAATCACATACTTCCCTACTATATAGTGGTAAAAGCAGTATGTGAAAAAGAAGAATGTCTGAATTCATAGTATTCATAAAAAGAATAGGCAAAAAGTCCCCGATGACCTAAATCTTCCGGTGAGATTATAAAGTGTGCATATGATGGACACTTTACTATCCATAAGGCCACGGGAGAGGATTTATGAATGGAGCAGAAGCAATGCAATTGACACTGGTAAATCACATGATAATGTCAACATGAACACCTGGATTACATTCATACTACACACTCACATACTATATAGAACATACTTTCTTAGCGGTCGTGAAGTAATTATTTATTCCAATTAGAAATGACAATTTCATGACTCGTTGTTATCTGGCAATGGAATTAAATAAACAAGGTGCGTTTCAGGAATATTGTAAGTTGGCAAATTGGCAAACACAATGCAAAAATAATAAGAGACAAAATACATATACATAAACAAACAGACATTTACAGAAAATCATGAAACGCATTAGATATGCGTTATTTGCATAAATGAAATGAAAGAACTGTTTAAAACGTTGTTAGTGTTGTCATGGCAACTTGTGTGTGTCTTGTTTACTACCCATGTGGAAGACAATCAAAAACTGATTCGGCATGGTCTCAATAGTGAGGTCATCATCCTCACTATTCTTTCTGGAGAAATAGAATTAATTCTTTTCACAACTAATTCACTTGTGAGAAACAATTCATGGAGCCAATCTTGAAACATGATCAGAGAATATCAGTCACACAGGCATGTTTGATAAACATAAATCTCTTTTTGTAAGACCTTGCAGTGTTTCCACCTTTTGAACGATGATTTGCGATGACCTTTATGATTATTTGATGAGGCATTTTCGAGGAAAAAATAAAACAATCACAGAGGAATTTGTTGATCATAACTGATCATGTCCAGAAAAACAAAAAAAAATGCTATAGGAATTCCCATGACTTTTTAAGAACAGTGGTGGAGGAAGTACTGAATCTTAGTACTTACTGTAAGTAAAAGTACAAATAACCAGATAAATATTTACTTTAGTAAAAGTAGAAGTAACACAATGACAACCATACTTAAGTAAAAAGTAAAAAGTACCTGATTTTAAATGTACTTTAAGTATTAAAAGTAAAAGTACTCGCATAACAATTGATTCTCTTAATGACTATTTCTAATGATTAATTAAAAACATTTAATCGTAACTCATTCAACCTAATACTCCTATAATGATGTTCAATAATGATGGAAAAAAATTGGTCACCATTTCTTGAAACAAGCTTGCAATTAGGCAATATAAACCAATGCTTATCCTCCTACTATATGTTAATAATATGTTGGCAGTAAACGCGATCATTTAAGGTGTAATTCTGAACCTCTTGGCTTGCCATAATCCTAACCAAACGTATATTACCCCACGTGCGTTTCCTATGCACGTAAAAACAAATTTTCGCGTATAAATCGCACGATAAAACACACTGTGTGCGAGACGCATTTAGTTGATGTATCTATGGCAACCAAACGTCACTGGTGAGACAAACGTGCAACGAACGGATGGTCAGATTACGTTTTGGCAGGGGAAAAACTGATCAGAAAATGTAATGAAAATGTAACAGAAGTTGTAGTGGAGTAGAAAGTATAATAATTGCTGCAAAATGTAACAAAGTAAAAGTAAAAACATATGCACTATTTATTCTACTTAAGTAAAGTAAAGATACGTGAAAATGTACTTAAGTAAAGTAACAAAGTATTTGTACTTCGTTACATTCCACCACTGTTTNCGTGAATGTTAATTTTTTACTTTGTTTATAATGACGTGTGTGAGTGAAATCGAATGTGCATCTATTTTAATCTGTGATGTTGTGTTGTCAGTGATGGTGTTCAGGAAAATAAGAGACCCCATTTACACCTGGTATTAAAATGCGATCTGTATCCAGACAAGTTATCCGGATAATAAGTACCGATTCCATTTACACCTGGCCACATACATGTGTTTTTTGCAAAACGGATATAAATCCGATCTTAAACTCCCGCGTATGCAGATTTAATGGATTGAACGACACCAAAAAGCAACAGATATGAGCTGCATTTCGTTGATCATCAGCTAATTTCCAAATCAAAGACATCAATAAAAGAGTGGCAACACCGCTGGTAAGATAATTTCGTTTCTTTACTTGAAGATGATTGTGTGTTAGGCGTCTGTGACTTACTTTCACTTTTATTTGCGATGTTTGCACGTTGGCTCGATGAATAGACGCTCATGAGCGGTGATGGGTGATCCGTGTCGCAGTAGCGCCGTCATATCTGACTATAACATGACATATAGCCTATATAACAAGCTTACTCGTTTATTTTTTGCCTTTTTGGGAGGAGTAAAATATACATATGTGGTTTCAACAACCAGATTGCGTTTACACCTAGTAAAGATCCGGACACAATGCGAGCCAGACTACCTGCAGATGTGGTCAGGCAGATCCAATCGCGATCACAACGCATTTACACCTTGCATTAACATGCGTTTTTTTATTATCCGGATAACTTATCTGGATACAGATCGCATTTTAATACCAGGTGTAAATGGGGTCTGAGTGTGTTCTGCGCTCATTTGTGTAGATTTCTGCTCGAGAGGCTGCGCGAGGGTCAACAGTACAACCTTACCGTCAGTAATAGTCAACAACACAGTAATGCAGCGCAATATAAGAGTTCGTCTTAGGTGCCTGTTGACTTTGGATCAATGCATTGTTTGTGTGTTGTTGCATAAGGAGATAAAGAAATAATACAATTGGTGACAGTGATCAATCAACACAAAAGGAACAATGATATAAATGAACAAAGATATGAGTACTAATCACAATAAAACAGGCTGTAAAAAAATCATTGAAACAAACAATCTTTCAACATGGCTCAGGGCACATGTCTGGCAAACAAATTAATCAATTAGCAGCGCACAGGCTGACAGTGACATTAAATCATAAAAAGGCATAAACAATGTAAACACAATCAAATTAATAGATGGACTCACGTAATTCATGAAGACACACACAGTTATGCATCAAAATGCCAGGAAAGAGTGCAAAGAATGAGCCAAAGGGTTCACAATCAATTTATAGGCAACAGGTGAGTCGTGCATGGTGAAGTGGCAGAGTCTCATTGAAAAAGCGAAATGGAGTTGAAAGAGATTAGAAAGGAAATCTTTTCAATTACTATTATGAATTATTTAATTATATCCATTATGCAATATTGGTTGGTGTTTTTCTATAAATCCAGCAATGAACATGTAACAAGAAAAGTCATTGAGAAGAAAATAACAGTCAGCCATTACCTCATGAACCATGGTTAAACCAACAACTAATAAAATACAATTGTGAACATTATGAACCCCAACACCACAGTGAAGGACGCTTAACAGACAGAATAAGTTAGGGATTACGCAAAGCCTGCGGGTTTATATTTGCTATAACAACCGCCTCGCTCTACATTACCCTGCTTATTACATTGCTACCTACCAAGTAAATCAATAATTTGACTCAAAATATAGATATAAACAGGAGTTTATTGATTTAAAAAACGATTGCCGATAAAAAAGAAAAATAGTCCGTTCTGTCTCTACGTTTAGAATCCATGGCAACGCTCTGTTTTTCATGGCAACGGTGTGTTATACTTATAAGCAGCGGCCTGTTATAACAACAGACCGCACTCTACATTAGAATTCAACCAAGCCATATAAGAAACAAATAATTACCGTTACCAAGCTAACAGAGCTACGTAAACAAAGCGAACAGGAGAGCACTCGTCTGCAGACGTCAATAATGGAATATACTCCCGATCAAACTCCGCTTCCCGAAAGTTATAAACTGCCTCTGGAAGTTAAGGTACAAACATCTATTCAACAAAAATAGTGATGCAGTTAAGTGTTTTTTCGCTCAGCCGAGCCCTCTCTGTTGCTGTGTGGAGCAGCCTGTGTCAGTCACCTCTTCCTGAA